TGTAAAATGGCTGGAAGCCCAGTCCAATAGTGATGGATTTATTTTGAAATTTCAGATATTCTCGTTGATAAGTTATTGAAATATAATTGTATGAAATGTATGTGAATATTTTAGTCACAGAGTTCGGCAATATACTTTACTGAATGGATTTCTTTGTTAAATGAAAAGGCATTATGTGAAGGAATCCATCAAAAAATTGTTGTCATAGAATTGGTATTCCTTATACAAAGTAATTTTCCCGTAGACTTAAGGCAAAATAATCGAAATAGATGCGAATATAAGAATTGTCTCTACCGATATTATCATTGCACCTCGTTAATAATAATTTCATTTGGAAAAATAAACTAAAATCAAGATACCAATCTTTCAGTTTACGGACAAACGAATAAGTGAAATTAACCCAAGTCTTGTGAAAAACATTTTTAAATCCAAATTGAAGTTTATAAATATATAATTTTGACTACTACGTCATTGTCACACGTTTCCTGTCAATTAAGGTTCGTAGGCAAAACAAATTTATCTTTTGTTATCAAATGTTTACTTTCGTATACACATATTTAGTTAAATAATTTTTAAATCGTATATTCCATGTCACTGGCGTTCATGTGCCCAGTTTCCTCTATATTAATACTTTACAACTATACGTCTTTCCATATCTAAGCCAATTGCATCATACCTTTCGGTATATTTTACACACGCGACATTTTGACTTATTATTTCAGAACAACAAAAAACTCCCTAAATAAATGTCATTAGAAATTTTAAAAACAAATACCATTTGTGGAATTTATTTTTAACTTGATGTAAGAATATTTATATATATGTGCTTATTAGATTTATCTTTTATTTATTCATCACAAAAAACTCCCTAAATAAATGTCATTAGAAATTTTAAACAAATACAATTTGTGGAATTCATTTTTAACTTGATGTAAGAATATTTATATAATTAAGTGCTTATTAGATTTATCTTTTATTTATTCATCACAAAAAACTCCCTAAATAAATGTCATTAGAAATTTTAAACAAATACAATTTGTGGAATTCATTTTTAACTTGATGTAAGAATATTTATATAATTATGTGCTTATTAGATTTATCTTTTATTTATTCATCACAAAATGTAAGGCTTTTTCAGCTATATTGAAGTAGAAATCAACTTACGCATGCACCCAATCAAGACATGTTTTGATTATGATGAACCAGTCAATTTTCCTTTTTGACAGATGATGGATATATTTTTAATGCAACTCGTCTTTATTCAATGCGACGGGGACAAGTTATGTTTGCAGATAAACATGGTTAACATTTACAGACTATAATCTTGTCGTATAAAAATTACACTTAAAGGAATTAGCTGTAAGATGTCAAGCGTCAAACTTTTTACAAATTAAATATAATGGGTAACACAAAATACATTCACCCATTTTATTGCCCAGATGCCCTTAAAGGTACAAAAATTTTGGGGATAGATTTAAAAGGAAAATCAAACAATATAGCACACCTTCGGGAATTTAAAATAAAAATCAGGGTCACCAGAGGGCATAAGAAATTTGTAAAGGGGATTAAAAAAAATTTTCCCGCATAAAAAAAAACAACAAAAAGAGTTTAACTTTTTCAAGCAAAGTAAAACTGATAAACAAAAGAGTCTTGGGGACCCACGCTTCCCCAATAGCGTGTGTAATTTTCTTTTTTTATGAAATCACGGCCCAATCTTAAAATTTTTAATTTAAAAAAAAACCTGTCCCTGTCAAATAAATTTGAAAAACCCCACGTAAAAAACCGGAAAAATTTGTTTTTTTTTTAAAAAATACATGGGAAGGGAAAGGGGGATTCCCAACCCGTTTTAGTCTTTAAAAATTTTTTGCAAAATAGCGCACATTTCGTACGTTAATATTTACAGAAGTCCTCAAACTTATTTATTCTTTCGCCTTATTTACATGATTTACAAGAGAGATTCTCTTATTTGTTTTGGTACTTCATGACATCAGAAAACTTTTTCTGTTACGGGTTTATTTGTCTCGCCAAGACAAGATCATAACTACCCTATACTCTGCTGGTTGTTTAAAGGTAGCTTTTTCCCATCTGCGTCGGAATTTCTATTTGTGATATATCTGATTGAATTTCATCTTAGGTGAAATTATTTTCTGAAACTGTTTTACAAAAGCATACGATTCTTTAGATTGTGTTCCAAAGTATATCAATAAGGAACATTTTGTACAAATTTCAAACTATTTCAACGTCTTTTTCTTTTCGTGTTATCTACCAAAAGGTATCTTAAAGATGATCTTATGTTATAATCATGATAATTGGTTGTCGATACGTCATAAAATCGTTATATGGATGCTAACATACCATTGTTTATGATTCTTCCTTTGTAAAATTTCGAATTATAAATTAACCCCAATTCTTTTTTATTTGCTGTAAATTAGGATTCTCTTCACTATGTCAAAAGACTTATTAAGATTAATTTAATTTGCAAATGCTTCCATAACAAACATAAATGTAATACGTTTTTTCCGATTCATTGCGATAGTTTTGTATTATAAGACATAACAGTACAGAGAGGGTTAAATAGATGTTTTATTTCTCATCTTAAATTAATAAAATATACTCATTGATCCTGTAGGTATAGAGTGTATGAAGAATAGTGTTTGACTGTCTCTGATAAACTCTGTTTTATGTTGTTGTGTTTTTTTTTCTTAATTTTATTCATCAATATTTGAATAAGTGTTAAAAAATGAAATCGCGTATATTTTTAAGATACATTAGACAACAGTATGTCTCTCAAATGATAAAAACACACGCGAAACCGGTTACTTATAATTAAGGCGCCATGCAAATGATATTTTTATTGAAGTAAATACTTTTTATTTGCTTCTTTTTCGTAACCCTCAACTCAGTTAGTACACTAATTATTTATAATGGGTTTGCCTTATTTTAAATTTAGAACAATCCATAAAAAGGTTAAGGTAATTCATGATCGAAATACCAAAAAGGATACACTTAACAGTATAGAGCCTGGTAGTTTTTAATTATTAGAGAACGTAGAGAACGGATTTGTTATAATTAGGAAACGGAAATTATGTTTATACAATTATGAGAAACCAACGATAAGTTTTTCTTTATATATTCAAAGAATGGAGGATTATTTTAATGATGAAAAAAGAGATTAGTTCTTTTACAATTATGAGTGAGCAGAGGTAAGGGCTTTTTTACTATAATTAGAAAACGGAGATTAGTTGTTTTCTTGACAATTATGAGAAAAAAGAATAGTGTTTTTTTACAATGATGAGATTGCGGAGATTAGCTTAAATGTTTAGAGAATGGTGATTAGGTTTGTCAGTTAATAATACGAGACAGCAATAAATGCATTTTTTTAAATATGAGAGAATGGAGATAAGTCAGGTAAAATAATATTCAAAGATTAAAGAGATCTAAATATGAACATATTAAGATTATTCTACGTTAAGTAAAATTTATGTTAATCAAATAGAAAAAAATGATACATATTTGTTTTAAATTTTGTGGAATTAACGTTTAAAGATATTTACACATTTATAAATCAATATACTGATTTTAAATTGTAAATCTCATTTAAGTGATAGTTGGTTAGGAGGATTGAATAATCTCAGTCTGTAAATATACTTCAGTCACATTCATACATTATAACTTACAACCTCTTCTATTTGTTATTTTTATTTACATGAAGATTAACGTCATAATAAATCAAATGTAGATATATACAATATATTTGAACTGATTTATCCGTATTTTTTTTTTCTTTCGTAAGTTCTATTATTCCAGTTGGTTTTAAGTTACAAAAATACTGTTGTATTAATATGATGGTTTTCAGGCTTACTTGGAGAGTTTATCCATATTACCTTCCATAGGGTGTTCTATCAAATCATTCAAAGTTTAAAAGAAGTTATATGAATTCACCAGACTATGTTTTAACTGAAATTCACATAGTCAAGTGAAATATTAAATACAAGTTTTGATCAAGTTTAAAACGTTTCAGTTATATATAAAAATATTGTGTTTTTTTATAATTATTATTTTGTTGTACAAAAGAAAAGTAAATTGGCACAGTATACAAATTAAGACCATTATTATATAAAATCGAGCGTCGAGGAATGAAATAAGGGAATAATATCTATTTTATATTTCAATATTCGATTACATTTCTTCCTTGTTTAAAGTTTAAGATAGGTGGTCCTTAATTAGTTATCTTAACTACCCTTAGTTTGTTTGAGCCATTCCTCTAAAATATATTGATTAAGCAAATGTTTATGATATATGTAAAATGTGTTATGGTTACATCGAAAAAAAAATGTGTTGTTAATGTTTTATTTTAGTGTTACATAGAAAAAAGGCGCATTAAGTGCAATGTTTTATTAATTTAGTAATTAAGATAGAGGTATGTGTATTAAACCGTGTTTCTTTCTTTTTCTTTTTCTTGTTTTTCTTCTTTTGGTACATAAGGATTGTTCGTTTAAAAGTTATTGAAATAAAATAGATAAGGGAACATAGAATTATAATGTTAATAAAATGAATAACCACGTGACTATATGTTATAAGAGCTTTTAAAAGGAAACGTAATATTGATAAGAAAGAAAAAATAAATCATAATTGATATGTAAGTAGCAATCAGTTTGGTTTATTTTTATATTCCATTTCATTAACAAAATGCCTCGATTTACGTCAAACATAGAGATTAGCTATATATATGTAGGCTAAGTAATAAAGGACAATTTGTGTTAAGTTTATGTTAAACTGGTCATTAAAGAGTTCGGTTTTGATATTGGAAGTAGTGCGCATAAACATAATTATTTCCATTACGATTATAGATTAAAACAAAATTATTGAGTATATTTAAGCTTCAAAGAATATGTTTAAAATAAATGTTGATATTTTGTTTTGTAAACCTTGTATTCTTTTAAAGTATTACACAGGTGACACGGAATAGATTGTATCACTTGAGGTCATTGTGTACGGAAATGGATTTATTTCTCTTAGTTTTGTTCCTTGATGTCATTTTTAAGAACAGAGGTAAGTCCGTTTTTGTAATCAATACATGATAACAATGTATACTTTATTTTGAATTTTACTCTTTTCAAATAAATACAGTGTCTCTAAAGGTGTGTTCAAGCAGGTTGTCAAATATTTTAGCTACATTTCTTGTGACATTACTGAAAAAAAATATGTAAAGAAAGTCAAGATAGTTGAAGTCTAACTTTTGAAACAGTTCAGTCCTTTACTATTCATAGTTCTGTATTTATGTTTACAGTTACATGTACAGTTACTGGAATAATTTTGTTATTTAATTTCCAACATTGTTTAAGTTCAAATTATAATGGAATCACAGAAGTACAGATAGTTGTATCTATCACAACCCTTCAAGAACGTTTCATAAATACTTCGGCCATTGTATCACAAAAATTGATTACATAGGAACAATTTTTTCTCTGGCAAAGCAGATATTTTTTCAAATATAACTGTTCGTTTGTAAAGAAGACAAATATTTCGTAGTCTACCGTGTGACGTCACTAGCGTTTATTTAGTTGATCTCCTCCATGGAACGCCTCGATTATCTAAAAAATTGTTGTTTTTTTATGAAAAATAATATGCAAGCCAATATTATTCATATGGATATATTTTATCATACTTGTAAATAAATGCTGTACCTTTGATCATATCTCTCTATTAATCATTACATTTTTGTTATTTCTATATATATTCTATGTTGCAGTATTTGCAGTTGTAACATTGACTTGTGACGATTTTTTCAACTTTTCTGATCTTGACTCGAAAATTAATGATACGTTTTCTGCAGGTAGGTATTTCATTGAAAAGTTAAACAAAAGTTTTTAGATAGATACATCCAGAACCATAATTATGTCACTGCTTTATACCAGTTTACTATCATACAACTTTTAAGCAAAACGTCAATTTCAGAGTTGAAAGTGTTAAGCGTATGCTGATTCGCAATCTCTGGACCAGCCTATTGTTAGCAGTTGTCATATTAATTATTTTTTTATTTCTTTATCGTTTATATTTGTGACATAGGAGACTTATTAAGAAACGGATGCACAATGATCGATGTTGATGTGTTGTCGGATATATCTAAAATCGGATTGAATATTAAAATTTTCTATTCATAATTGATTTTATAATATGTTTGTTTTACAGTGTTAAATGATACCGCATTCCGCAATATTTGTTGACACCTGCCTGAAAAGCTCTTAAAATTATTTGTCTATTACTTCATTTTAAGGTATTTTTTGAGTACTTTATTTCTCAAAGCAAAAACTTTTAGACACATACTTGGCACGGGGAGTCAATAATTTATATGTTTATTTAGCTTGTCAAACACTAAATCAAAGATGAAAGCTGACTTTAAGATATCAATAAATATGCAATAAAACCGTAAAATTGATTATGGAGTAGTTTGGTAAACAGTTTGTGTATAAAAGAACATATATTTGAATTGAACAAAAATAATAATTATCGATGTGCATTAGACAGAAATTAAAGAATTAACTATGTCTTTAAACAATTCATTTAATGCAATGAAGCTCTTATAATGTAGGTTGATTTGTTTGTATTTTAGGAGAAAATCTATACACGCAGCTGTTCCAACTTATTTTCAAAAACTTTGTTCATATATACTTTGTAGATTTTGGTGCCAAATTAAGTTTATAATTCACTCGCATTTTATAAATTGAATCATTTAAAGAATGAAATATAACCCCCTAACGTACTGAATTTCTTAGATTGTCTTTTCCGGTTTTCATCTGTTCGAACCATAAAACTTCCAATTTATATTTTGATGAAAATTGAAAGTTCGTCAGCCATATAGAATCTAGTCAGTCTGTCTGGATATGTAGGCTGGGCTGACCTGTAGTGGTAACAAAGGTTTCAAACTTTGGATGCCAAACTCTTAGCATACTGACGGCAGATTAATCATCCTAAACAACCAGTGCATACCAAGTTCAGCCAGTACATCAGTACGCCTGATCTATGTTTGTACTGTTTGCTTTTCGGTCGGTTCTTATTTTAAAATTTTCCCTAAAACGAGGAATGCTTCTTAAAGTTTTAAAAGTCCATTTCAGATGTTAAGCGTGGTAAGATTTTCTTTCTGGAAGCAAAATGTGCACGTTAAACTGCATGAGTTTTTTTTTCAAATTATTTTATTACTTATTCTTTATTCATTTATTCTATAAATGCATCTTATCAGTTTCTTACTTATCGGACACGACTATCAAATTGAATAACGGTCATCATGAAAAAAAAAGTAAAAGACATCATTGCTAATAATGTAATAAAATAAAACGTAGACTTTATCAATTTATATGTTAGGTGACATTTTGTTCAATATCAACGACGAGATTAATTATTCAACAGACTGTGAAGACCAGCAACTTCTTAACCTTACAACAAGTCCTGATGTCCCTGGAGAAACTGTTGTTTTATTAGCTGTCGGGTTATCTGAGTATTGTGTAAGTAGACAATGACATTACATACTCTTATGATATATTAAACGACAATATATCACCTAAGTGTTGTAGTTAATAAAACTACGAAAGACCCGCAGGGACATTTATATTCGTGTAATCATGAAGCTGACATCGTGAATTTTGTATGTTGAACGTGAATTCACGAATGTTAATTCACAAAGATGAAATCGGGAATCCATGATAACGAAAATTTCTTACAAAACATTTGAATATGTTAATTATTATTAACATAATTCCTCTCTGTCTACAAACATCAATTCAGTTTTTCATCATAATTTATCATTAAAAATTCAATAGCATATCGGTAGCATATTTTGTTTTGGTAAATAAAACTGACTTTTCAATTTTAAATGAAAGTGTAATATTTGAAGTCAGTAGAACGTTAACAGATAAGTGAAAACCTTGCCAAAGATAATCTATGTTGTTTTTACAGAAAAGTTGGATTTCTTGTGTCTTCGAATGCACCAAGTCACAGGTAAGTGCCAGAATATCATTATATTACACGTTCTGTATATTTTATTGTCACCTCGAAGCGTATCCGTTATACTCTGAATATTAAGTTTTCTATGAATATGTGTAGCACGTTTACAAACTGGCGCACAACGTTTTACTACATTTTTATATAGGACGTAGCATTTTTATGAATCTTTATCATGAATTAGACAAAATTGGGATTTATGTAGCTGTCGAGAATAGTACTCATACACATGTTCCTAGACACATTTGCAGCATATGCGTCACGTAATTTTTTAAAGTCTTTAATGAAAAGGAGCTACATATTAAAATATCTGGATTACTTTAAAAAATGAAATACGTTCTTTCTTTCTTTCTTATTATGTTTCATTTTATTTCTTCACTTTGCTGTGTTATTCAGTACAAGTATATGGTTATCGCGACAATATTAACTGTAACATAGGAGTGCCATTATTGGTTCAAGTGTTGTTCAAGTGTTTTGTGTTTGTACTAGATATGGATTTGTCAGAAACGTTTCTTTTGATTGACAGAAACATTTGATCATTCAGGCGCCAGTAAATTTGACACAGGAATACGATTTACAGTTTGAAGATCCATATTACACAGCAAATGTCACGTGGGTAAGTAAATAACTACCGAAATTAAAAGCATTAAAGTCATTCAGACCTTATCTTAAATCAATGATTATTGTTTATTTCTTTTTATTTATGGTGTAGATGTTTTTATCACAAGATTTTATATAATGTCATACCTATTAACAAGCCGAGTTGTGCAATATCATTATGAATTTATGATAAACTACTTTCAATGGTAACACAGGACATACTTCTTAGTCATAAAAATTATCACCAAACAAATAAATATTTCATATCAAAATATTAATATATACATTTTGTACAAAAGAAAACCTAATGACCTTTGTTGGAGTAAGCATAATTTTGATCAGTATAATCGATTCAAACATGCATTTTCATTTGAAACTCTACTATGCATTAATCATTCCAGATGTCAGAAATAAATACGAACGTTATTTTAAATAAAGACCTAATTGTAAAAGTTGCGAATTGCTCCAATGCGTTGATGTTTCCATCTTATACTGGGAGATACAGTCTAGATCAAGTATGTAATATATTTACATTGATTTAGTGATCTTTCATTTTCGGTTTCTTCTTCTTTTTTATATTCTTCTTCTTTTGTTCATCATCACCGCCATCATTATCATAACTACTATTTCTTCTTCTCTGCCAAATACTTTCTGTAAACTCTTCTACTTTTTCCATATTTTTTCCATTTCGTTGATTCTCTACAATGTTTCCTACGTTTTAGAAATACTTTAAGGATTATTTTGTTGCCAAAGGTTACGGCAATAATAGAAAAGATAATATTATGCATCATTAATGTTAATGTAATGTACAAAAAGGAAAACTAGTTATATTTTCCCCCTTAAGTATATAAGTAAGTTGAAAAAAAAAACATTTTTTCAAATATACCTGAAGGTTTAAGTAGAAGCAATGAGTTTAAACCTTGCAGCAAAAGATTATACCCTTGCGACTAGCGTGACAAAGGTCGATTGGCACTTGCATCGCTAGTCAATCAATATAAACTTTGAAATTTTCTCTAAGATTGGCCGATAGTCTTGTCGAGATTGGAAGATGTGAATGTTCATTTAAGATGTTTGGCGTAAAGGTAAACATTGTTTTTTGTTTACAGAGTGAAAGCATTATGCCATTCACGTGGAGTGTAGAAACGAGTGGAAACAGTTTATTTGTGAGTGAAGTTTTAAACGACACGATCTCAGTGTTCAATTTGAAAGTTGTTGCAAGTTTACAAAATCCAGCAAATCATGTAGGTTATGTTTGAAATGTATGTTATATCATTATGAACAAAAATCATACTTCCAATACAAATCTTATGTAAAATTTTTAGTTTGGAATGTTTAGGAAAAACTGCTTATTGTAAAAGACCAATAGTAAAATTATAGTTAAACTTCCACAGAACGCGTTAAATGTTCATTTGTGCATTATCTCAGACAATATACCTGACCAAACAATATTCAAATCAAAAAGCTTCCCTAGAGGTGTGCTTTTATGAAATAGATGTAAAGGTTGCGTATAAAATTTTGTCGAATGTCTATTACATACAATTTGAAGGACTGTATCAAATGTATACATGTATGTCAAATATAAGTTTATATCGGAGGTATACGATAATGTGCAAATGAACAAATATTTAAAGAAACGTGCCAATATCAACTTACTTCATTTAGTCTAATAATTTTAAATATATATTTTCCAAACAAAGGCAAATGTGCGCAGACTGACTTTGATTTATGTGGGTGGCATATGCAAACTTTTATCAATCTGAGCAAATAAAGGTTTAACCGCGGCCAAATGTGTATAAAAAGTCATATACATAAGTTTTCGTTTGAGTGAAATTAGTTCCGATTGATATAGAACCATTTAACTTTATTTTATTTCAGAGAATAAAAGGAACAGCCACATCTACTATTATTGTTTCTGTAATAGACGAAATTGGTACGTGTTATGATACAATTGAAAATCATAGCCTCTTTTGTACACTTTCCAAGCAAATTTCAGTGACGACAATTGATATGGAAAGGAATGCAGTTAACGAAATCGTGGAAAAAAATAATTTCAATTAAACAAATCTAGATATAAGAATAATTATTGTTTTTATTGTTGTTTCTAAAAAGGAAACACTCTGCCTTTTTGTTCAACTTTTGTACTATTATACAGACCTGTGTTTACTTTTAAATGTGTTGTAATTTATTATTGTTATGATCAACATCATCTAACACAAATCAAAATTATGATCATAGTAAAGGCGTGACTTTCTTTTGGATTAGAATAATATGACCATGCTCCTTGTTCCAGATGAATGTTTTATAAATCCGTGTGAGAATAATGGTACGTGTGTATACTTGTCATTTGGAGAGTACAGATGTGACTGTTCAGATGGCTGGTCCGGAGAACATTGTAATGAAAGTAAGAATTATAGCATACATTATTCATGATAAATGCGTCTGTGTCAAAATGTTAAAGATCGTTCATCTCGAACCACTTGCCCATTACCGCTGCCCCGGACCTGACTTTAAAGAATTTCATATTAGGAAGCTCTCCAGCTATCTGGCTTCTAGTCAGTTGCTAGCTTGTACCTTAGATAATACTTTTAAAAATCGACCAAGGATATAATACATACAATAACCTTTTAATATGTCCGTGACTTGAATTTATAAAGGGGTACAAACCGTATCGAGAAACCCAGACGTACATATTTATCTGTTATTTAATATTTAAATTCCGGACTGCACGTATTTAGTATAGAAATTCTATTATTTTTTTTCATTATAGCAAAACATTTTAAAGACAATCGTGCTTCTGGTTATATGTTTATTTTTCCTTTTCTTTGATGCTTTTTTGTACGTGTGCTATTACCTAAATTATTAAACATTTATTTTGTAATTCACAGCCAATATTGTGCTAGAACCAAATGAGGGAACGGACATAATTTCAATAGTAGGTGGAACAGTTGGTGCTGTTTTTGGACTTCTACTTGCTGTGCTTGCAATTGTCATCATATTACGAAAATACAAAAAAGACAAAGTGCAAAGCTTGAAAAAATAATTTATTTTAATTGATTGTGATAAAAAATTAATTTTCGCTGAGTGTAATTTATAAATTATTTGTATTTAATATAGACTATTGGAGACTATCTGATTACAGCGCTAGAGCAGAAGGTGACTTGTACGATTTATTCTGCGTTGTCTATTATTGTATAAATTATCTTCTTTTCACAATATTTTCTTGTCATGTGACGATGCTTCCTTTACTTTCAGGCAGAATGAAAACTGTACAATTGGATTTATTTAGACTTATCGTGATCCTAGTATAGGGAATCTTAAGAGAGATAAATTTAGAGTCACTGATTTCATTTAAGAGTTATCTGCCGTTGATAGTTCTAACTTTAAGAAAAGATAGCCACCATCCAGGTTAGCAAGGCATTATTGTTTCAGCTTTAAATGTAACTTCCTTTGTCAGGATTTTGCAACATTTATTTACACATTCTACAGGTTGTGATAAAAGTACTTTGTATGCACAGAATTTTGACTTGTAATGAATGGTTGATAATGAACATTTTTATTCAGCCGAGCAGATTCCGACGCAGAGCTATGAATTGACTGCTTATAACACAGCATTAGGAATTGGCTTGACCCAATAATTACTATATCATGAGAGAACTAGGAACTGACTGAACTTAGAACCATACATTGATTACTCATGTCAGAAACCTAGGAAATTATGATAGATTTTCTATCATTCTTAATTGCCGTTATCATGAAGTGCTCAAACACAAGGTGACGATCGCTAATCGCCTATTTAGAGTCAACCAGTAACTTTGTCGTTAGTTCGAATTCAAAGCTGTGATTTTCATCTTTGATCACAAATTAGTTTCACTTTTCATGGCTCAGAGCCAGTATTGACTTCTCATTACACGGTACAAATATATTCCAGGCTATTAAAACAGATACAAGTAAGATTTAAACAATATAACAGTGTTTTTAATTACTGTAACAAAGAAAATATGTTTGGAATTCTTGTACTGTTTTTTTTTTCTTTTAACATTAATGTTTTTTTTTGCTTTTTAGCAAGGTACTTATCAAAGAAATTTTTCCATTTTTATGAACATAATACGGATAAAATACATAACTTCACTTTCAAATGTAATAGTGTCTATATTCACCTCTGTACCCAAATATAAGTTATCTTGTTAAAGTGTAAATATTCAATATAAACTTTTCTGATGTCAATAAAGATTGCTCATTTCATTTTTCCCGAAGAAAAAAAAAACGATTTTTACACATTTATCATATTGAAATTGAAAGAAACTTTTAAAAAAGTAAAATAGAAGAAATCTTGGGAGTCATTTTTCGACTTCCCGACAAATGTCCCTGTTCAGCTTAAGATGGTGACTATAATTGCTGTCCTTAATGTTCATAGTGACAAAACCTTTTCAACCTGTCGACCTATTATCTTAAAAAATGAGAACAAAGATCAACAAGACAAAGGCCACGTTCACAGGACGTAGCCGACGACACACCTAAGCAGGGTATCAAACCAAAATCTGGAGTAAACACAAGGGCGGCGAAAGGAGAAGGACACGCAATGTGTGAAATAATCTTAAAGGTCACCCTATCCTTATCATGGTATCTTATAATATATCATGACAAGATTACATAATTCAACATATATTTATAATTTATATATTATTTACGTATTGTTTATGATCAGTAAGCATCCCCATAATTTAGAATATAAAGTAACTCAAAACATTCAAACATTTTAGTTATTCCTTGTTCACATGCATAATTTGTGAAACGTAGGTTAGTTGTATAGATTTGAAAAAAAATGCACATGACATCAATGTTTGTATGCAGAGAGAATGGAAACAATCTTGAAACAATCCAGTTCTGTTTTTATTTTTCTGCCAAAATAATGTCTTAAATGATTTTGTGCACGTCCATCCGATTTCTATCACAAAGTAATTCCTCATAAGTTTGAAACTGTGAAGAGGTTACACTGTTATTGTTTGCCAGACTCAAATTAGACCAAAATGTTTGTTGAAGAACAGTTCTAATGCAGATCTTTCCCTGTACTCCAAAACAAAGATATATATAAATACAATTGCCCTGAAATTTGAAAACTTAATGTGAATTCAATTCTGCAGTTCACAGTTTAGATAAGCGTGGAAATATATTATTAAACAAAATAACCTCTTTTAGAGTTTCACATCATTTTAATAACACAATTTATTAAGAAATCATTTAGGTAATCTTACGAGGTATAGTCAAAAAGTTCCCGGACTGGTCTGTTTAAAAAGATTACTGACGTCCGATTGTCATGAAATTTACCATGAAGGTATTTTTAACTAATTTGAGTAGCAACATGTATGACAAAAATCAATTGAGTAAATATTTGAAAATTATTTTTCACATGAAACATGCCTGCAACCCGTGTACGAAGCTTTTCAGAATTAAATTGATTTTTCTAGAAATGAATAATACTCTTTCATGAATGTCTCAAAATACTGGCGCCAGAACGTCGTGAATTTGTACGTGACGTCAGCTGAACGCTACTAGTAAACAACTGCAAAAATTCAGCGTGATCGGATTACGTATCGCCATTTTGTGCACGATAATTCAAGCCACGTGAAAATTTCTATACGAAAAATGTCAACCTCAGAAAAACGTACGGAGCAGCGGGCAGTAATAAAATTCTGTGCGATGTCTGGAATGACTCCGACTGATACCTGGAATTTTGTAATCAGAAGGAGAGTGTTCATAATTGTTCTAGGACACTTGTGTTTGACTGGCACAAGCGTTTTAGGGAAGGTCTGACGGAAATTACCGATGATGCACGAAGCGGAAGACCGGGTAACGATCAGCTCTCAATCCAAGATGTGAAGGACGTCAACGCCAAAGATCGGAGAAAGTCGACTGATGATATCGCAGACACCGCCGGGCTTTGTCATGGAAATGTACATAAAATACTGACGAAGGATTTAAACATGAATAAGATATGCGCCGCTTGGTACCTAGGTTACTTACAGATGAAAACAAAGCAACCCGTGTAGACGCTTCCCGAGAATTTTTACGGCGATATGATACAGACGGCGAACGATTCCTAAGGCGCATTATCACTACGGATGAGACGTGGGTGAACTTTTACGACCCGGAGAGTAAACGAGAGTCGATGGTGTGGAAGCAACCTTCATCACCTCCCCCCAAGAAGGCGAAAACCTGCAAGTCGGCGAAGAAAAAGTTATGTATATTTTCTTCATGGATAGCCAGGGTATGCTGTTTCAACATGCGGTGCCAAGATCGGCGACAGTCAACAAAGAGTACTATCAAAAGGTAAGCATTAATTATGTCGCATGCAATGGGGACTATTTTGAAAAATCATGAACGTGACAGTAAGTTGTTTCTGGAATATGAACGTCACCTGAACGTCGTTAGCGTCGTCGACGTCGCCGAATTGCTACGTACGTGACATAGTGTGTAACTTTAACGGGGTGTTAAATATATGCAACATATATGAAAATCATTGACTCTTATATAGTCATGCAGCGATTTCTCTAAATTTTAATGTGATATATGTCAATATAAAAACATACACAAAATAACAAAGTTACCGTAAGAATCCGAGAACTTTTTGACTATACCTCGTATTTTCTCGAGCGTTGTGAGTTTTTGCATAATGAGTATTGAAATTATTCATTTTCTGTCAAAACATTCTGCATGAATAATACCTTTAAGTTCATGTTTGAATAATTCGCTGATTGAATTAAGTAATCTGCCCCCCTTAAAACTATCCATTCCTTTACAAAAAATACGAGTAAATACCAATACGCAATTTTGATAACATCATAATATCATAATAGTTATTATTCTATGACTGAAGTGTCTTGATAAAAAGCGTTAAGCAAAATGTATCCACTTAATGTTGATAAAAATGTAGAACTAAATCAGTACAGTTAATGAAGAATTTTTAATATCATTGTCATTAAAACACTTTAAAACTACAATTTACTACAAAGCTCAATAAAAGAGGGTGTTACGTGCATAATTGATTCTCATATATGTTTTTAAATCCTAGTTATGTAAACGTTAATGCATTTATTATCAAATGTAAATGATGACCTTTAAGCAAGAAAGATATGGGAAATTAATATAGGCTTTGTTTCGAATATGTAAATAATCGTATTACTTTTTAATATTTTAATATGAATAATAAGTAACCCCAAAAATAAGTTTTTTTTTCTTAAATTTTAAATTCCATTTAATACTTTGAGAAAACAACCTTAAAAATTCACCCACAAACGAATGGTATTATGTATGTTGTAACAGATGAGATTTTGAAGACAGATTTCACCTTCTTTCTTTAAACGTATGTTTTACTGTGATACTCAATAGTTGTTTTTTTTAAGTCAAGTCAATCAATCTGTGATTAGATTCTCTGATTTGAATTGCTTTCTCAAAATTATTTGATAATATTAAACTATGTAAAATATATAAAATGACAGACGTTATTCAAATGTTTTAAGTTATAAATAACATTGTCTTAAATGATGCAATACTCACATAATTATTTATATTAACTTATTGCCCGTGATGTGTAATGTGTAAATAAATATAAAATAGAGAGAAATAAGAATCCCTAAAGAAAGCCCAACACGGCACAATTGAAAATGTTGCAGGCTCGGTTTGATTGGGCCTGTTCATGGACGGTACTGTCAAGTGCAATCTACCGTCCACGCCCCCTAGCACCGGCTTAAGCAGAATTCAACATTTAACCAGAACTGGTAAAATTTAGAATTTTGAAACATCCGCAGATGTGTTCATATGGCGGTTATCATGGAACTTTCAATGTGACATGTAAGTGCCATTCCATGAAAAGCGGCATATGGTCCCCAAATAAAAAAATGCGTGTGCCCTTAAAGAGAAAACAATGGGCGGAACTAAATAAAATGGAATTTTAAAAGGGGGTCAGAGGTTATGAAGCCTGCATATCACAGATACGACGTCAAAAGGACACATTAAAAAAGCAGGCCACATATCCTAAGGGTGATTCAACAGTATTCAAGTGATGAATACTGGAACCACCCAACAAGAAAGATGCCAAATAAAGAGAACGAAAAAACCACAAGCACAACAATTATGTCGTGCTGAACGATCTTTAAGGACCGGAAATATAACATCCCTGATTGAATGTACGGGGCGACTTTTTACGGCCTCCACTCGGCACAAACAACGCTGATGTGGCAATAAAATAGAGAGAAATAAGAATCCCTAAAGAAAGCCCAACACGGCACAATTGAAAATGTTGCAGGCTCGGTTTGATTGAGCCTGTTCATTGACGGTAGTGTCAAGTACAAACTACGTCCACGCCCCCTAGCACCCTATGAATAGAATTTTGTAATATGTTCTCGGTGTGTGGAATGTTTATCATTTATGTTTTTTTCTTAAATAACCACTTTTATTTAATTTTACCAATTAAATATGGTGCTATATCAGTCAAATATATTTCATATTTTTTAAAAATAAATATGAAATATAAATATGAAAGTGGGCGGAGTCAAAACTCATATTTATTTTAAGGGACTACTTTTGCCATTTTGTTTGAAAAATCTGATAAATACAAAACAAATTTTTGTTGAATTTTGCTTTGAAAACTATCTAGAATGATGGTAAATGTCCTAACTAAGAAAATAAATCCGAACACCAATATCTTTAATTCAATTATTAACGCTGTACAGACGTTTAAACAGTTGTTTACGTGACGTCATAATGTAGCGCCAAATATCGTGTGCAAAACAAGACGCAATAATATATTGCTGCGCGCTGTACAATTGCAGTTGCGTAAATAGAAATAGGGTTCGTAACGATTTTTTTTTTTGAAAATGAAATTAAATAAAAAGGTTATTTTTTCGTGCAATATGGTATATATTTTCACGAAACATGATAAAATGCCACATATTTTCACTCGCCGTCCCGGCTAGTGAAAATATGTGGCATTTAATCATGTTTCGTGAA